TTACTGCATGTTCAATCCATCTGACCACCGGACACTTTTTTTTTTAACTTCGATGTTCTGAATCCACAGGAAAGGGGACCAATTGCCTTTTTCGAACGAATGATTCCCCTTTTAGGAACGGAGAGAAGCTTAGTTTGAAGAAAAAGGCTGAAGCTGCGCTCAAGCCCTCGTACGACCAAACATCACAATGACTCGCCATTGATTGCTTTCTTTCCCAAAAGTAACGGGAGAGTACGGAGTACAATATTCGTAAAGAGAATAGAGATATGTGCGACTCAAGCGCTAATTACTTCCGTGTACATGTCTTATTCCGCGTCGAGGCAGCATGGCAAAGAACTTCGTGTGGAAGGGCGACACTCTCGTACCACGCGGGTTTTCACTCGTACGGACGAACCCACAGGACAAACTTCGAGGAAGCAGCTCACGTTGAGAACGAGAGTAGGCGGTGAAGAATAGACCCGTTGCGCAGTTGCTTTTCTGTCAGAGTCGCGAAACGTGCCGCATGCGCGTAGCAGGTGCGAAGAAGCAAAGAAACACACGTTTATAGGTAGGGAAGAAGCCGCGTAGAAAGAAGCAGTTTGCCAGGTTTCGAAAGGCCCGCCGGTACAGACTGTCAGACAGGCGCACACACCGAGGGAACCCCCCTTCCCTCGACCACCCTGGGACCAGTAAAGGAGGATATCATTCAAGTTGTGCCGAAGACCCTGCTTGAAGAACCCTGCTTTGCCAGCGAGGGCATGTTTGCTTGTTTTTTCGGGCTTCGTCGACAAGCGAGGCATGCGGTGAGGCCCTCCCCTCGGGCATACCGTCGGTGCGGGAGACCCGAAGTTGGAGAAAATAGCGGAACGGGTGGGCAACGAGGGGGGAAAGGGAATCGTTTCTCTTCGAATCGAGTGCCAATCGATCAGATGAGTTGACATGATCATCAGTGGGTATTCTGGAAGATGCCGAACCTGCGGTGTGGACATTGCGAATCTCTGTCAGTTCTTCTGTCGTTGTATCAACAGTTGATGAACAGACAGGCTTCGATCACGAAAGCGGTCAAGCGTTGCTTTCGTCGCCAAGGTCCAGACTCGCCTCTCGTTCCTCCTTCACGCTAAGGATTTCTGCAGGGACTGATGGAGGCCAGCCATGGAGAGATGAGGCTCCGTTCGATGATGACCTGCGAACAACCTAGTAACCCAAATTATCGACAATTAGATGCTGAAACGGAGAACCCAGGAAGCGAATAGGTCCCGCGATTCTCGGGGGGTCTAGCGCTGTGGAGGAGCCTGGGAGGAAGAACAGAGCTAGGATGAGGACAGCAATGGGGCACCATCGGGTCTTTCGGCTCCCTCTTGCGCGCGGAAACATGGGCGAGGAATAAAGCGATGTTTTGATTTTTTTTGTGTGTGTTTCGTGATCACGGACGAAGCGACAACGTGTTTGTCAAAGGATGGACCCGAGAGACGACATATGGAGAAAGCATATGATTCCGTACTCGTACGGGGGCCATGGCTGCAGGCAAGGGAAGAAAAAGACTTCCAAAAACGGGAAGAAAAAGGAGTCAAATTGATGATGCACAAGGTGACGTTGACTCGTTCTCGGCCGAGGGGCCCCGCCAATCTTCATAATCCGAGTCGTGCGTGGCCTTTGTGAGCCCCGGGGCCGGGTTGTAAATTGGTGTTTCAACGAAGAGAAAACCTGCTCGACATTTGCTGTAAGAAACCCTCCAAATTTAGCTCTCGACAACCCTGAACCTTCTCTGTTCATCTTCAACTGCTAGGATCGTGGAAAGCACAGTAGGGTTTTACACCGATGACGATGATGTGCAAAGATTGACGATACTCGAGATAAGTCTTGTTTCCAGACTGCTGGAACGCGAGGAGATGCTCGTAGCTGCATAAAAGCGAATCACGGGCCTCCACTGTTTCGGGGATCGGCGTCGTAATGGGCGTGGAGTTCTTCTTTGTCTCCTTGATTGCGAAGGGTTCGCGGTTCAAAGTTGCATACCAGTGGGCTCCAGCAACTTTATGCTATCCCATTTGGTATATTCCCACTTTCACCTTATGCGTGGGGCTTTTCAACGGTTCATCCGGTTTGCTGCTGAGCCTGCTGGCCATGTCCTGTTTGGGATGAGCCAGAGCCATAAGATCTGCGATATAGCTATCCTATTTCGTCTCAAAAAGCCCCTTGAGTCAATACCCAACGGCGGGACGAAAGGCAGAAAAGGCAAAAAAAGAAGGGACGATTCATGAGCCAGAATGGAGGCGTTCTGTTGACGGGAAAAGTGGAATCGGGGGATCGCACAGGCGGAAGAGCCAAGCGACTCACGGATGGGGTTGCACCGGCAATGCAAACTATCTTACGAAAAGAGCCTGTCGAAGGTCCCCCCGTATGATTGCTTGTTCAAGGGCAAGACTGGCGTCGTCATGACCTCTCTCGAGTCTCTGCCACCGTTGCTGAAGTGCCGAATTCCGTCGGATGGTGGAATATGGGGCGCACATCCTTTTGGCGCGTAATGCATCTTGCAAGTTTTGTATCCCTCCAGACTCTAGTTCTCTATTCCTCTGTACCCGTATGGCTCCTCCCCTCGTGGAGTTGTGCCCGGCGTGTCGGTGTGACTGTGACCTCAGAGCCCCAAAATGAGGTGCCGATCGGTACGCAGGAGAGAAAGGGAAGGTTTCATTGCGTCCGTATTTCCCGGAGGAACCCTCCCCAGGGAGTAGGGTTGCTTTCTTGCTTAGTTGCTCCCCTTTTTCTTTACGGACCTCGTCACATCACTCCATATCATGCGGGCTCTATAACGGCAACGCGCAATGCCTACTGGCACATTCGCGTCGAGCATGAATTCCGTAAGCGCTCATAGCTGACAGTCACTTAACGTCCTTAGGACATAATATACCTGAGCGGCGGCCGTTGGCCCGTCGGGTGTTGCTGATGAAAAGGCAAGCATCTGGAAGCTGACTACGACATTTGTGACCAAACACGGCAAGGGGGCACAGCCATTCAACGGCTCGTAGTGTGGGGGCCGCGATAATCGAGAGAGAAGGCTAGAAGTCTAGATTCAAGCAGCCACGCAGCCTTGTTGGACGGAAAGCCACGAGAATGCCCTCTGCTGACGGTTCATCTCGGACACTCCAGAGCTTGCCTTCATACGTCCGTAGCCTCATGCAGTGTGCAGTGCGGCTGGTCTTGGCTTTTCCCCTAAGGTCCTCCTCATCTTTACTAGCTCAAGCGTCCAACGTCGCGCAAGGCTTGCCTCGAATAAATTACAGGCTTTCTGCTGTGTGTTTTTTTCTCCGGTTTCGTAATCTCACAACAGAGAAAGAGATGCGAGAGTGGAAGAAGGAAAAAGCAAAAACTTTCTGTGCTTCCCGAAGTTCGAGCTAGTCGTAAAGGGGCTGAGGTTCAGGTTCTGATCAGTGCTCCCGCTACGCAAACCAAGGTTGTCCCCTCCGCGACGTCGGTGAAACCGTGAAACAAAAATACACAATGCTTTTCTCTTATTCCATATTTCTTTGCTGTTCCGTGGAGCTCTGCCTTTATGTGTTCATGCTGATAAGGCTCTGTCGACTGACTAAACGACCTTGTCCAATGATCGCCCGTCAGCAGGGAAACAACAGGGCCGCCGATGGTGGCATAATCCCGTTCTCGAGACACCCGACATTTCTCGTGAATGTAACTTTCCAGCGAGTCTATCTGTACCGTGTTGACAGGGTTACAATTTGCCCCATCAAAGAAAGAGAGTTCCTAGGATGAATGCGAGAGAAGACCGTCTGAACTTAACGTCGCGGAAGAGGTAGATAGGAAAAGGTTTGGCTGGACTCCGCGACACGGCATTGGGGCTGAACATGGGACGATATGAAATTCGGGGGTGGATGATGATGTTCAGGCACACAAGCAGGGGGCAGAGTGACGAGGTAGCACAGACTCACGAGATGGATGTGTGGTATGGTTTTGCTTCCGTTACTCGACAGAGACCGAGACTACCACAGTAGAGTGTGTTCCTGCAAGAGTGAGATGGAGGGCTGGCAATCTGCGGGCGCCGCATCCATGTGCAACCACACCATAAAAAAAGTCTCGGGGTAAGGAGATGAAGCCGTCACGCTGTCTATCACAGTACAATAGTATGATTGTGAAAGCTTGACGAACCGACGGTCTTGACTGCTTCGGGACACGGGACGGCGAGACATGCAGAGGAGCGGAAATGTTGTGCTACAGCCCGAACGTATGACAAACCGACGCAGCCCTCCCTCTCGAGGCATTTTACTTTCTTGGACTGGCTGCCGTTTCGACAAGCTGCAGAACCGCTGAAGATTTTCCGGTTGCTGCTAAAATTGCGTTTGGTGTGCTTCGCGAAGCGCTTGTGAAATTCGCTACATGCAGCTCTTGTAAGCTCATTTGCTGTGCTGGCCTTGTCTCGTCAACCAAGAGACGGGCGTTCCGGGTCAGCAGCAACCATTGGGATACGAAATATGTGATGTAGGTCACACCTCAAATCTCTCTGTGTCTGTCTGGCCGAAGTCCTCGATGTGTGCTATTGACATCTAAATACAGGATGAACCCTTCCTAGGCCTTCCAAGTTGGCAATACTTCATGTTTCCTTTATTGCAAAGTCATGCCCGAATGTGTTGGTGATCAACATTATCACTACCATTCTCGAGAGTTTCACCCCAGTCCCTTAGAGCGACCCTCTTTTTGGACTCTTGAGCTCTCAGACTCTGGAGCCCTGCTGGTGGATTGAGCCATACTTTTTTCTTACCTTACCTTCACGCTACCACTCTATTCGCCGTTCGGCTGCATGTTCCCCTGCTCCCTGGTTCCCTCTTCACCTAGTGGATCCGGAACCAACAGGAAGAGGAAGACCCTCTTCACGCATCCCAGGCACAGGCACAAGGCCCCCATCAGCTGGCAGGGACTCCCGGACTTTGTGAGGTCAGCTCAATACCAGATCCGGCAGTATCTCGTTGGACCTTGGTGACTTGGTGCCTCACAGCGGAGTACAAAGTGTAGCAACCATGACTGCGCTGCTGGGGATTAGCCAGCAGGATCCAAGGCGATTGGGGGAAAGTTTGTGGATGTCATCGACGACCTCCTCGTCCAGGTCCTGGGCAGAGCAAGAAGAGCGGGCAAGTGGACGAATGAAGGCCTTTGCTGGCATTGCTCTCGCTGCCCCGGCGCGCGTACCTGGCGTGATGGGTGCGCTGCCGTGGGACCCATCACGATTGTCACCATCGACTGGTAGGTTTGGACCAGGGGAGATGGAGGAGGACAAGTTATGCCAGCACCGCCCTCGTCCCTGGGCGGCGGCAACGATGGATAAGGACATGGGGAGCGTTGCCAGCGTGGACCAGCATGAGCTCATAAGTTTCCTTGACGACACGGATACGGACGCGGACGAGTTTATCCTTTGCTCGTCTAATAACTCGTCTCCTTCTTCTGTTCCCATTGCGCACTTTCCGATCGACGAGAACGAGATCGACAGAGATCTTTCATCAACAAGAACCACCAGAAGCACCAGCACCGACATTATTTCCAATAGTATCCGTAATAATACTTCGTTTTACTCTTCCGCACGCTCGAGCTTTTCGTCATCGACAACGACAACAGCAACAAATTTGACTTCTACAACGACATCGGTATCGACAGCCACCACGACAACGGCGACAATGGCGCCAACGACCATTACCAACAGCTTCCTCAGCATTGGGGGAGGTGACAACAACGCCGCTAAGAGCAATGGAAAGAAGACAGCAGTAGCAACAGCGGAGACGGCGGCCGGTGGACGGACCAGCGAAGATAGCGTGGACCGGTCTCACGGCCTCTGGAACTATTTGCATCACGGACTCGACGGGTACAGCTCGCCCGATCTGCGTTTGCTCCAGCACAACCAGCAGCAACAGCAACAGAGCCAGCAACAGCATAAACAGTCCCCTTCGTCATCGTCATATCATAACCTCTACTTGCGGCCCGACTCGTCGAGGAGCCACCAGCACTTTGACTTTCCCCGGACGAGCTCCGAGTCGGGTTCCCGCTCTGGCACTGGCTCTACCGCGACCGCGACCGCCAACTCGACGACGTGGACACTGAGGAGCGGCAAAAGTCACGAGAAGAGCAACAGCAGCGGCAGCAAGAAGACCACGGCGACGACGGTGTCTGCCGCAAACTCGGCGACGATGGCTGTGAAGCCGACAAAGGTCAATACCACCGGATCAGCAACAATTACTGTGCCGCCTCCGCCGGTGTCGCCTTCATCGTCAGGGCCCTTTGGGGCGCAGATGACGAAGCAAGAATTCGAGGCGTTGCCGGAAGCTATTCAGCGAAAGGTGAGCAAAGACATTTTATTTGTGTGATCTTGTTTTCCCCTTTCTTTGTGGACCTGATTTACCCCCAACCGAGACTTCGATTTGTCTTCTCTGGTGCTCTCTATTTCTGATTGTTTCGTTCCTAATTGTCCGCCTTTGCACTTTGTCTCTTGCTCTTTACGGCTCCTCGCTCGAGCACTTTTCTATCAACCTCAAATATCTGCCATTCCCATGTGCCGTCCCAATGGGCAGCATTCCTTTATTCGCAAGTGCCGAGTCTCTCGTTGCTTTACTTAGCGCAGCCAGCTAGCCAGCCCCCCTCCCCCCAGCCGAGGAAGTTTGAGCCGAGAGACACGCCATCTCTTCAAATTTGAGGACGGAACTACGGCGCCCGTTTTTGTTTTATTCCACTTCATTTTGTTTCTTTCTCGTCCTCGGCCCTGTTCTGCTCTGCACGGGCGTATTTCCCGTGGCCATTTGGCCCAGCCCTGGGCAGAAATAGAGGCACAGACTGCAGTAGGGAGAGTTGTCAGGGACACGGATCAAAGTGCGCTCGGCCGGTCATAAGGAGACGAGGCGAGGCGCCTTCTCTCCGCCTTCTTTTCGGGTTCCTGAGCGTTCGAGTCGAGGGAGTGAAATGAGATGAGGATGAGGATGAGAGACGAGAGTTTTGTCTGCCCGTCTGACCTCACACTCATCACCGCTCGCTCTTCTGCTGGCTAGCTGGCTGGAAAGGTCCAGACCGACCCTGGACAGAGCTATTCGTCTCCTCCAATGAGTCTCCGACCCAAGTCCAGGGTACCTTCACCTCGCCAACCACAGCCGCCTGAGTTCCGCCGTATAGCTGCAGCGGGGACTCGCGGCTGGGGGGCCGTTCAGGTACCCATCGATGCAGGTTGGCTCGCCGAGTCGCTGCCCAACTGCAGCATCGGCGCCGCGGAGAGGATACACTTACAGCGAGTGAGAGTGAGTGAGGAGAGCGAGAGTGAGAGTGAACTGTCCACTGAGACATACACCCGAGAAAAGAACAGCCTGCTTCGGGCCCTCTCCCCCGGGAAGCAGCTCACAATCATCACCTTTCCGTCCAACCAACACCCAGCACATCTCGTTCTTCAATCTCTCTCTGCCCCCAACTCGCATCTTCGTCCCCACACCCTCATGCACTTGGCTCCCAATATCACCTTCATTCGCTCCGGGGGGGGGGGGTAGTCAGCATTGGCGTCAGGCACAAGGCATAGGCGCGGGTGGCACAAGGTCCCCTCTTCTGTCCATATCTGCGTTCATGCTCATGCATATGCATAGCTGCCAACCGCTGAAGAGAGCGTTCTCCCCTTCCGCACATAGCTGAAGATGAGGGGATTGGGGGCGCAGGCCACGATGCAGACCGACGCGGCGGCAGTCGTTCACGAACTCGCATATGACGAATCGCATCGTGTTGTTGAGTGTGTTGTCATCACAACATCAACAACACCATCATCAACAACAGGACCAAGTCGTCCAATCTCATCATCTCATCACTCGTTGCTCGTCAAGTCTGGTCTTTACACCGTCGGGTCTCATTCGGCTTGCCTTCCCCCCATACGTGCTGCACAGTTCGATATTGCACTATCAGCACAACATGAGGCGTGTCTCTCTCATGTCTCTCTCTCACTCTTACACTCACTCTCGCTTTCACACAAACAACGTACCCCGGCCCGCCAGTTCAGCCATGAACAGTTCCCGTGCCGTTGTGCAACCCAAGCCCGAACGACATGTCTCACTCGAGTGCAGAGACTGGGCCCAACCATCCGTCATGTCTCTCTCCATTCCCTCGTTCGTCCACTCAGTCCAGACCCCCGATCCTCCTCGGACTCCCTCCTCACCCATCATTACTCATATTTGCAACGGCGAGCCTATCTTTTTTGGTCGGCAGCACATCCCAATTCCCACATTCTATGGAACCCACCCGGGCCACCAAGTGGTGCCGCTGGCTGAACGGACAAGCGAGCTAAGCCGCAAATGCTCTTGGTGAACTTGGTGCGGCGTGAACTCTAGAGCTATTCCCGCATGGCGTGTGCCGTCCGTGTCTGCGTCGTCTTGTCTGTCGTCTCTCCTTGAGTATAGTCACTATGCACGCACGGCACATGCATCCGCACTGACGCTGAGCATGGTGCTGATGCACTGACCTGACTTGACATGCATCACGGACTCTCTCACGCTCTCTCCCTCACTTTCCCTCACTCACTCTCCCACGCAAGTCAAGAAACTACCGCCATAGCTCCCTCCTACGTACTTGTCTTTGCCTTCCGGTCTTCTCCCCCCCTGGCACCCAGCCGCCCCTCCTGTCTCAATTGACGGTTTGGAGCTTTGCGTCCAAAGTCATGGGTCGGCTCCCGGGCTATTCCTAGATTGCCTGTAGAAGCAATCCCAATCCCAGAACCCCGAGCTTGTCCCTTGAAGGCCGGGGGGCTGAATTGAGTTCGAGCGTCGCTGATCTCGATGTATTGGGATGGCGTTCAAAGTTGATTCGAGCAAGTGCTCCTCTCTCTCTCAAAGTATCTCTGCCTATGGGTACTGCAGCTTGATGACTGCGGTATCGCACCCGCTCCAGGCCAGCCAATGTCCATTCCAAAGTGATTCCTTCCTATGTCTGCGTGTCTCTGTACTTTCGTACATCCTGTCCTCAGTACGGCACGGCAGCTGCTCCATCCGTCATGCACCTCAGCAGATGCAATGCAGGTCCCGCTCATGAGCACCACCGCAACACGACGCAACACGACACAGGTGCGGTGCGGTGCGGACGAGCACAGTCTCTGGCTCCAGTCCCATACTCCATACTCTACTTTTAGTAGTGCAAGTGGAGGAAACACGACGTCTCCCTCCCTCTGCTCGTTCCTGCATTAAGACACTACATACCCTCCTTGTTTCTCAATTCCATTCTTGCCCCCATCTACATTCCCGACCACGCCTTTGTATCTTTTTTTTCTTCCTCATCTCACTCACAACTCTTACTAAATCCTTCTTCAGTACTTTAGTTCCCTCGAACGTCTTCACTTTGCCAGTCTTGCTCCGGCCCCTACTCCGCCATCCACACATATCGACATCTACTTTGATCGTCCAGACACCGCACCCACACCAAAGACATTAAAGCAGCGCCGTAAAGAACGTCAAGCCAGACTTGCATCCGACCAAGTGTCCGACCGTGTCAAGAGACGGCCTTCCCGACGTGCCAACTTCCGCGCTTCGACGAGTTCCTCCGTCTACGTACGGCTGCCCGACAAGATTCGGAAGAGGCACTTGACTACCGAAGAGCAGATTGTTGCTTCTCGAAACCGGAGACACGACATCATCCTTGACCCGGCTGATGAGGCCATCTACAAAGTTCGAAGACGAGCCTCTAGCCTAATTGTTCAAGACGAGTTGTGGAGTCCGACTCTATCGGTGAGACCTTCGACGATGGAGTCTCGGCGGCCGAGCCAAGATACGAGGAAACAAATGCCCAAGTCGGAAGAGAAGAAGTCCCCTGAAGCTCAGAAGAAGCGGGACTCCTTTTACGACAGCTTCCGCTGGTTGGAGGAGGATGACGACCTAGACCTGCGTTTACATCTCGACGATTACCACGCCAATTTGCGAGAGGATCTACCAGCCAACTCGAAACAGCGCAGGCCGTCGTTTCGTAGGCACCTGTCCATATCAAAGATACCGTTCGGCCGCAACTCGCTCTCCACCAACCGCCCCGGTACGACACCCGCCGGCGCAAGCCATCCCACGACCCCATTGTTTTCGAGTTCTCCAGTCAGCCCTCAGACAAGCTCTCCGGGACACGGCCGGCGAAGATCACGGGCGCTGTCTCTGATTTCACCAAAGCATAGTCCCCAGGACACTGTAGCTGCCTTTGATCCGGAGGCTGCACACTACCAAGATCCCGAGGCCCGGCTGAAGCTGCGAGTATATCTGGCCTCCCCTCAAAAGTTTGACGAAGCCATCGAGTTCGGGTTTCCTTCAAAAGAAGCCATGATCACCACCAAGCCTAGCAAGGACGTCAAGCCATTGAAACATCGACAATCTAGGGCAGCGTTGGTGGACGAGTCAGAAAATCTCCGCACCTTTCTCGCCGACGATCGGTCGTCGATCTTCAGCGATGATGGATCCCTTGATTCGGATTCTCCCAAGACACCCCATACAGTGGAGATGACAGCGCTTCGGCCGCCGCCCATCAAGAATGATCAGCTTCATTCACCCAAACCATCAACGGAATACGCACGGATGCCGGCAGAGGCGAGAGAAATGACACTGCGCATGACCCTTACCCGGCCCGACCTCCGAGCCCACGAAGATCAAATGTACGGCTGGCAACAGAAGCCATTACCGCCCAGGAAATCCCAATCGAACGGCCTACGAGACGAATTTCCGACGTCGACGTACGTCCGAGATGCGTCGTCAAAGGAGAGTATAGAACGTCAGTTCGCGGCCATGGACCAGGAAAACGCTCAGGCCAACGACCGAGGCGTCATGAAGCGCTTTTGGAATAAGGTCCGCCGAGGACCGGCGTAGCGCTCACCATTCCTTTCGACCATGCTCGGACCCGATGCTCTCGAATCGCAAATCTTACCAAACGCCCGTTAGACACAGGCAGCAAGATTGCAAACAACAACACCTGCATAATGAACTTAGAAAACAGCACTGTTTCTTATACCCCCATTCCATCTGTATACTGCCGAAATTCCATAGTGTCTATTATTTCCTATCTCAACAAAATTCTTCCAAAGCGACCTTTTCTGGGGTAATTGTATTAGAGCTGGGAGTCACTGTTAGAAGAAGCATATAGGGGCCGGGGGGAAGGGGTAATGTGGTAGTCGGAGAGGAATCAGGGCCTTTAACCGACCTTTCCGCCTGTCACATTTGACTCAGTATTACGGATACGTTGGAGGAGAGAAAGGTCTAGTGAGATGGCAGATCTTTTACCTAAAAAGGGGGGGAAAGCAAGGAGTTGCATAGGGTAGCATCGTCAAGTAGGAGAAGGGAGGAGGCACTCACGCGCAAAGCGTCAACAGAATAGGCCAAATCAATTAAAAAAAAGAAATCATAAAGAATCGACGTCCGCTCAAACTCTCCAGTGATTCCCCATGTGGTGGGTGCATGGCCACGAGGGAGTGATGGGCTGCATTGGTGACATGCACCTTGTGTCACAGAAAGGGAGGGGATGCAGTGTTACCTACTGTGAGCACGGCACGATGAAGGGGGGACTAGGTGCCAAGTGTCAGTCACTCTGACGGGCATGATAGGCACTCAACCGGCACAGTGGACAAGTCTCGAACCAGATTGATGGATCGTCTGAATCATGACTACGAAGTGAAGGTTGGTACACTATCGAGTAGAGTAGGAAACGTAGTACCTAGGGAATACGGATTATGTGAACAGTCAACGTGGCTCTGAGCCTCTGACAAGAGTCTGACTTGACCCAGGAACCTGGTTGATAGCCAACTAGCTTTTAAGCCCTACTAACGGTCGGACCCCCTCCTTCCCTTCCTTCGTCGGATGTTCCGAGGTTTGGATTACAGTAATATGGTGGTCGTTATAGGGTCATTTGAAACGAAACAGGCGGTTACTGCGTAGGCTGGCGTAGCAGGGAATAGTGGTGATATGGATTGCATGTTTTGGAACGGAGTGCCGAGATCTGGATTTTCCTTGATAACAGGGTACCTGAAGTTCATTACCAGACGCAGTAATACGCAGGATAAGGCAAGCAGCCCATTTTCACTTTGGAACATTGAGTCCAGAACTTTGAAGGGGCCCCGGAGACTTGGAACGGGATTGAATTTTGACGGAAGAGTTTGGACGTCTTGGCACTTTGAAGTTGTCAGTGTGGTTGAATCATGATGGGATGAACCCTGGGGTCACTTTGTTGTCATGGCGAGCCGCTCGGATCTTTTTTTTTTGTCTTGTCCTTCCCTGGTTCTTCCTCTCTGGTCTGGTCCCTTGCTTCAATCATTGCTACAAACATTCGTTGGATAAACGTTTACGGGAGAGAGGGGGCGGGGGCAATTTTTTTCACACTACGTTAGTGCCGTCCTTGATGTTGGATACCGTGGTACGGATAGATGGACGATGTGCGCGATGGGGGGTTTGTGCTTTCGTACCGCGTATATGGAAAGGCTGGTCAGAGGGAGGGGGAAAGGGAAGCGGCAGGCAGAGAGAGGGGACTGTGCGCAAAGGGATGGTATCATTGG